GGAAGGACACGGGCTGGGGGGAAGGACACGGGCTGGGGGGAAGGACACGGGCTGGGGGAAGGACACGGGCTGGGGGGAAGGACACGGGCTGGGGGGAAGGACACGGGCTGGGGGGAAGGACACGGGCTGGGGGGAAGGACACGGGCTGGGGGGAAGGACACGGGCTGGGGGGAAGGACACGGGCTGGGGGGAAGGACACGGGCTGGGGGGAAGGACACGGGCTGGGGGGAAGGACACGGGCTGGGGGGAAGGACACGGGCTGGGGGGAAGGACACGGGCTGGGGGGAAGGACACGGGCTGGGGGGAAGGACACGGGCTGGGGAACCATGCCGATGAGCGACACAGAAAGTAACGCTCATGCGCACATGTCTATCATGCCTATCACACACAACACATGCACGGGGGTGTGCTTGCAGCGCAGTGGACGGAAAGAGCAAGCTGCTGCTCTCTGAGACACGAGCACAAACGGGTGAGATAACATTGGGAACATTGAGAACATTGCGAACATTGCGAACATTGCGTGGAAGAAACGAGGGACGGAGCAGAGACTGAAAGACTTGTGCGATGACTTCTTTTGAGGCGCCTCAAAAGTCGTCTCTCTACCCACAAACGGAGCAGAGACTGAAAGACTTGTGCGATGACTTGTGAGTCAACTCAAAAGGGTGGTATATATTGAATGGTCGAGCAGACAAGCTGCTTCCCCTTGTGCCAGAAAATAGCGGTTATATGCATTGGAGTGCTTTGAGACGTCTCAAAACACTTTTATTATCACGTGGTCGAGCAGATAAGCTGCTTCACTTGCCGTGTGCCAGACAACAGCGGTTATGTGCATTGGAGTGCTGACCGTGCCTCACCTCCTGACTGACCATGTATTTAGAAACAAAGGTATAGCTTGCCTCACCTCCTGACTGACGTTGATGCCCAGCTGACTGCACAGGGAGCACAGAGGGAGTGAAGCGGGTTGGGAAAGCAGAGAGGGAGTGAAGCGGGTTGGGAAAGCAGAGAGGGAGTGAAGCGGGTTGGGAAAGCAGAGAGGGAATGAAGCGGGTTGGGAAAGCAGAGAGGGAGTGAAGCGGGTTGGGAAAGCAGAGAGGGAGTGAAGCGGGTTGGGAAAGCAGAGAGGGAGGGAAGCGGGTTGGGAAAGCAGAGAGGGAGGGAAGCGGGTTGGGAAAGCAGAGAGGGAGCGAAGCGGGTTGGGAAAGCAGAGAGGGAGTGAAGCGGGTTGGGAAAGCAGAGAGGGAGCGAAGCGGGTTGGGAAAGCAGAGAGGGAGCGAAGCGGGTTGGGAAAGCAGAGAGGGAGCGAAGCGGGTTGGGAAAGCAGAGAGGGAGCGAAGCGGGTTGGGAAAACATAGAGGGAGCGAAGCGGGTTGGGAAAGCAGAGAGGGAGTGAAGCGGGCTGGGAAAGCAGAGAGGGAACGAAGCGGATTGGGAAAGCAGAGAGGGAGCGAAGCGGGTTGGGAAAGCAGAGAGGGAGCGAAGCGGGTTGGGAAAGCCGAGAGGGAGTGAAGCGGGTTGGGAAAGCAGAGAGGGAGTGAAGCAGGTTGGGAAAGTAGAGAGCGAGTGAAGCGGGTTGGGAAAGCAGAGAGGGAGTGAAGTGGGTTGGGAAAGCACACAGGAGCACAGGGAGCAAGGATCGAGAGAGGAGCGCTGAGGGGGTTGGGGTGGAAAGGAGGGTGGGGAAGAGCCATGGGGGGAGGGATGCACGGCACGGTGTGGATTGAGCGATGCTCAGGTGCCTATGGAGGGCAAGTACCTACCTACGAAGTGCACGGAATGATGCTCTGATTATCTGGGTGCATGTGTTGCATTGGAGGTTTGAGGTGTCTCAATACCCGGATTACCAGGGTGCATGTGCTGAATTGGGGTTTTTGAGATCTCTCAAAACCCAGATTATCAGGGTGCATGTGCAGCATTAGACAGCAATGACAGCACACAACAAGGGAGTGTAGAAGCAGGTCACACGCGTGCGATGCGAGTGACCGGGCAAGGTATTGGGGCCGTAAAACAACTCGTAATCACACTAGCGGGTACTGCTATTAATGAGGACATGATATGAGGTGCATCTTATAGGAGGCTCTGACGTCATCATAGGGGTTTTAGGCATCATCACACAATTGCTGACGTCATGGCACTGGCCTCTTACCCCATGGCGAATTTCATCTCCATTTTGTCAATAGATCCTGCCATTCAACGCCAGTCAATACCATCGCCAAACAACGACAATCAATGACAGTCAATGACAGTCAATGCCAATCAACGGCAGTCAATGCCAGTCAACGCCATTCAACACCAGTCAAGGCACGCAGGATACATGCAAGATTACTTCAAATTCTGGTGAGTCGTTACTACTATGCCTGTGCCACATGCCCCACACCACGTTATGAAAGGTAAGAGATGGAAGTGCGATGTGATAGGTATGCACGGCATGACACGGCATGACATGGCATGATACGCAGGGATACATGTTCATTATTTCAGGTTCTGATGAGTCACGACTCTTCGTTCAACACTACCCCACACCACCTTATGAAACCAGAGATGGAAGAGCAACATGACAGGTAGGTATGCGTATGCCCGGCATGGCACGGCACGGGGCAGCAGGGCACGGCACGCGGCGGCATGGCATGGCATGGCACGGGGCGGCATGGCATGGGATGTCATGACGCAGCACGGCATGGGACGGCACAGCATGGGACGGCCTGGCACAGCACAGCATGGCAGGGTACCGACAGGCAACGAGTTGACTTTTTGAGTCGACTCAAAAGTCAACTATGGCACAGCATAGCAGGGCACCGACAGGCAACGAGTTGACTTTTTGAGTCGACTCAAAAGTCAACTATGGCACAGCATAGCAGGGCACCGACAGGCAACGAGTTGACTTTTTGAGTCGACTCAAACGTCAACTATGGCACAGCATAGCAGGGCACCGACAGGCAACGAGTTGACTTTTTGAGTCGACTCAAACGTCAACTATGGCACAGCATAGCAGGGCACCGACAGGCAACGAGTTGACTTTTTGAGTCGACTCAAAAGTCAACTATGGCACAGCATAGCAGGGCACCGACAGGCAACGAGTTGACTTTTTGAGTCGACTCAAAAGTCAACTATGGCACAGCATAGCAGGGCACCGACAGGCAACGAGTTGACTTTTTGAGTCGACTCAAACGTCAACTATGGCACAGCATAGCAGGGCACCGACAGGCAACGAGTTGACTTTTTGAGTCGACTCAAAAGTCAACTATGGCACAGCATAGCAGGGCACCGACAGGCAACGAGTTGACTTTTTGAGTCGACTCAAAAGTCAACTATGGCACAGCATAGCAGGGCACCGACAGGCAACGAGTTGACTTTTTGAGTCGACTCAAACGTCAACTATGGCACAGCATAGCAGGGCACCGACAGGCAACGAGTTGACTTTTTGAGTCGACTCAAAAGTCAACTATGGCACAGCATAGCAGGGCACCGACAGGCAACGAGTTGACTTTTTGAGTCGACTCAAACGTCAACTATGGCACAGCATAGCAGGGCACCGACAGGCAACGAGTTGACTTTTTGAGTCGACTCAAACGTCAACTATGGCACAGCATAGCAGGGCACCGACAGGCAACGAGTTGACTTTTTGAGTCGACTCAAACGTCAACTATGGCACAGCATAGCAGGGCACCGACAGGCAACGAGTTGACTTTTTGAGTCGACTCAAACGTCAACTATGGCACAGCATAGCAGGGCACCGACAGGCAACGAGTTGACTTTTTGAGTCGACTCAAACGTCAACTATGGCACAGCATAGCAGGGCACCGACAGGCAACGCACAAGAACTATCTGGGACTTGGAACTAGCCCTGTGTAACCTGCCCTCCCACACCCCTCCACACCCCTCCATACCACTCTATGCACCTCTGTCATCCATTGCCCACCAATACTGAACCCCCCCCCTGCTTCCCCCTTTCCCCTTAGCCCTGCTCCCCGACCCATCCATAAGAAGCAGTCCCACCTTCCAGAGCAGCCCAAAAGCATGTCCTAGAAGCAAGCTGGATGCGACTAGCTACGGGTATTAAGGATCCCCACTCACCCGACTTGTCCGTATCGAACACGCTAAATATGTCCTCAATCTTCGCCATTTGCTGCGGAGTCAGGCCCCGCGCCGCGCCAGCAGGCGGAGCCGCTGCAGCCGCCGCCGCCGCCGCCGCAGCTGCCGGCGCGGGCTGCGGAAGCACTCTGGTACGCCCCGCGAACATCCTGGTGGGATTGGCGCCCGCGAAGGAACCCCCCGCAAAGCTTCCCCCCACTCCCGCCGCGAAGCTTCCTACCCCAGCCCCTCCCGCCTGGAACTGCCGCGTCGATCCGGCGCCCGGCGCAAAGACCCGCGACGCGCCCGCGGCACCTCCGCCGAAGACGCGGCTCTGCGCGCCGGCGTGCGCTTGCGCTTGCGCGTGCGCGTGGCGGGTGCTGGCTTGCGCCATGATGGACGTGAACTGCCGGCTGAACTGCTGCGCCGCTGCGCGGGAGCTTGCGCCCGGCGGCGCAGCTCCGGCGATCGCGCCTCCGCGCAGAGGCGCGGGTCCGCGCGGGGCTGACCCCGAAGGTCCCACTGCCGCGTGTGGCGCCGGCGGAGGCTGGTTAGACCTGTTGGGCTCCCAGCCGCTGTTTCCGCTCGCCATGGCGGCGCTTGTGGGGTCCTCGAGTGCGTGTGGTGCGCGTGTGGCGTGCGCGTGGCGTGTGTGTGGGGTGCGCGTGGCGTGCGCGAGGCGTGGGTGTGCGTGTAGTGTGCGTGTGGGAACCTTGTCTGCGTGTACGTGTCTTAGCAACAGTGGCGATACAAGGTATTAACGGGCACCTAAAGGCTGCGACTGGAAGCGTATGAACGAGCAAATGCGCGAGATTTCTGAGAATGAGCACTTGCGTCCGTGTTCGGGTCTATGTGCACAAACAGCCTGTATGCTGTGCGAGTAATGAAAGTGACGCGGGACCACGATACTGATTTTTAAGTCGACTCAAAACTTATGATGGTAACGACAGCTGGGTGCACCGAGAGCGTACAGATGCAAGCCAGAGGACGAGACGAACGGGAGAACGAGGGGTGCCGGCCAATGTCAGAGAAGGAACGAACGAGTGGCGCAAGTCGGAGGACGAGGAGCTGTCAAGAGACGTCTCAAAACACTTCTTCAAACGAGTGGCGCAAGTCGGAGGACGAGGACGGGAACGGGAGAACGAGCCGTGTCGGCCAACCAACCAAGTCGTGTCGTGTCGCGTACTAACTACGCCGTGTGAGGAGTACAACGAAATTTACCGCTCCGACTTTGGATCAAATTTACTATTGGAAGCAGCGAAGCGCGCCGACAACAACAACAACAACAGAGACCCCGCAAAGCCTACATAAAAAAATAGCTCCTGTGAGGTTCTTCTATACTACGCCTACAGATTCAAGACTCGCGAATTCGAAATGAGTAGTATACGCTGAGCAAGCTTGAAGTACCTTGGTTGGCACGGGTGGGATGCTGCTGAAAAAGGGGCAGCGCGGCAACACAAGGAACGAGGCTTCGGGCTTGCCGTGTGCAGCGGGGCTTTTGGCGGGAAAGCGGGAGCTGGAAGCACGGAGGAACGCGTCAAGTCAACAAAGCACAAATAATTCCGCGGTAAGGGGATTTACGATAATCCTCGACACAAGCAAATACTTCACCAAGTAAGCGAGCATAAAGGGCACCCATAATAATCAAGGCAGATGTTATGAGTTGTAAAAGAGAGTGCGCAGGTAAACGAATAACGAGGCTGTGACTGAATCAACTGCGAATACAATGAATGCACAGACTAATGTAGGGCTAGCCTAGCTAGGAGGAAACCTCGGACAAGCGAGGTTGGGTGCAGGTTGGGCGATGGATGCCGAAGGCGACGCGAGGAGCCTCGGCAGCGTTGAAATCGGCCTAACGTGCGAACTCTGAAAATCGGGTTGTACGCAAAGCAGTCAACCCCGATAAGGAATTCAGGAAAATTCCTTACAGCAGATACACCTCGCTATCCATACCATTTCAAAGAAAATCCCAGTACCGTATCCTTTATCATTAAAAGAACGATATTCCTGATAAAATAACAAATTATATGTTTTTACAGGTTGCTTGTATTTTCCTTATTAGACAGGCATGTCCGCCTCTGCTACTGGCTGGGTGGAATCGAGGGTACCGTCTCCCCCCGGATATAAGCGCCACCCTAGGATAAGCGCCTGGCGCTTCTAATTGGCATATGGCGCTTATATCCCCTCCTCGATTATAAGCGCACCCCTTGAAAAAACTTGTTTTATTATAAGCGCACGTAAACTTTAAAATTTGAAATGTGTTCAAAAAGCTGTAACGATTTTTACTTTAGCAGGCGGATATGTTGCAGAATCGGTTCCCTTCACATTCGGACCCTGCACTGGATGCGGGTCCAGTCAGCAGGACCTGTCAGGAGCTGGATGTGAGTCAGATTGGGTGTATCTCCCAGCGCGCGCGAGAATTTCACAGACGATCCCATGTAACTTCGACTCGATTGAAAAGGCAAGCACGAGACCTACAGTTTGGTGTTAAAAGATATAAAAAAATATGTATGTCATTTTATAAACGCCGGCGCTTATAAATTTACTCGATTATAAGCCCACCCCCATGAAAAAACCTGTTTTATTATTGCCCCCCATGGGGGTATATCCGGGGGGATACGGTATGCTGTGAGGGGAGGGACAAAGGGAGAGGAAGTGAGAGATGAGGGGGAAGAGGGAAAGGGGTGATGAGATGGGAGAGAGGGAAGGGGATGATGGGACGGGAAATAGGGAGGAGGGTGATGGGAGGGGAAGAGGGAAGGGGGTGATGGGACTAGAAAGAGGGAAGGGGATGATGGGACTCGAAAGAGGGAAGGGGATGATGGGACTCGAAAGAGGGAAGGGGATGATGGGACTCGAAAGAGGGAAGGGGATGATGGGACTCGAAAGAGGGAAGGGGATGATGGGACTCGAAAGAGGGAAGGGGATGATGGGACTCGAAAGAGGGAAGGGGATGATGGGACTCGTAAGAGGAAAGGCTGAGGGATGTTGTGGAGGGTGGGAAATGGGGCAGGGAGGGAGTCAGGAGGAAAGTGGTGACAGCAAGAGGTAGGGAACCCCAACAAGAGTGAGAGATGGAGGGACAGAGCATCAAGGAGAGAGAAGGAGGGAGGGAGGAAGAGAGAAAGCGGGGGAAGGAGAGTGCAGCAGCCGAGGTGCAGAGCGGGACAGGAAGAGCCAGAAAACACAGCGAGACCTCTCAGACTGCATCTGCTCTTGCATCTGCCCGAAATAGCGCTTCTCCTGCATGTTGCTGACCTTCCTCCAATCCTTCACCCTCTTCTCAGCAGCCTCGGCATCTCAAACCAGTCCCTGGCCAGCAGCCTCTCCAACTAGACCACCTTTGATGCTTCCCTTTCTGTGTTTCATGTTAATGTCTGAGTCAGCTCAAACGGCCTCCAGGCAGCCTACCTGTCCGGCCATCCACATTTTGATCATTCCCTCGCATTGGGTGTTCATCTAGGTTAGAGACTCTGTGAGACGAATGAATTTCAGCCTCATATGCCTCAGCCTTCCACACCCGAGCCTTCCACACCCTAGCCTCCCACACCCGAGCTTCCAACACCTGAGCCTCCCACACCTAAGCCTCCCACACCCGAGCCTCCCGCTGACCTTTTACACCTTCGTCACCCATCACTTCGTGGCCTTTCCCCACCTCCGCGACACCCTCACCCGCGCAGCACCTCACCTGCGCAGCATCCCACCGCGCAGAACCCCACCCGCGCAGCACCCCATCCGCGCAGCACCCCACCCGCGCAGCACCCCATCCGCGCAGCACCCCACCCGCGCAGCACCCCACCCGCGCAGCACCCCACCCGCGCAGCACCCCATCCGCGCAGCACCCCACCCGCGCAGCACCCCATCCGCGCAGCACCCCACTCGCACAGCACCCCACTCGCACAGCACCCCACTCGCACAGCACCCCACTCGCACAGCACCCCACTCGCACAGCACCCCACTCGCACAGCACCTCCAGCCCTGCAAGCAGACTCGGAACCTACCTGCGAATCCTCGTCGCGCGTCACTTCTTCGCCTTTCCCGCCTTTTTTGACGCGCGAGCTTTCAGCATCTCCTGAATCGTCGACGTGGACTCCGCCGGCCGCGGCTCGAGCCACGTCAGCGGGTGCTGGCGGAAAGCGGGCCAATCGGGAACCACCACGAGGCACGCGAGCAACGTGGCGCCTAGATGAATATACATCATGAGAGAGAAAGAGGAGTAGAGGAATCCGGCACCGAAAGCTATGGCGGCACCCGCGAGGAGAATAATTTGCATCAGATACTCCGCGAGGCGCTGGCCCTGCCAATCCATGGCGACTGTGGCGATGCGGATTGCAGTGATGCAGTTTGCGGCGATGCGGATCACTGCGCGCGGGTTCGGCGGGTGCGACGATACGGATTGCGAGGCGAATGCGAAGGCGAAATTTCCAGATTTTTTCGCGATATACTAAGCAGAGCTTGGGTTGCAGTGGCGAGATCGAGTCAGATTTGCTCAGACACGGAGTAATTCGAAAATTTTCTGGATTATGCTTGATCAGATAACGGACTGGGGTAATAAGTCTGAAGCTAGTCGGGATTATGCCAAGTGTCTGTAACTGACGCTTCCCCTTGCTGGTACTTCGGGTGTCGGGAGAAGATCATACAGGGGCCGAACAGTGCCAGAGGGGTGATCAACCAGGGGCCAAGAGGCCCGGAAATTACCAAACCGCTTAGCAAGGAGGAATTAACAGAGAGGCTTCATTTATTTCACGTAATAATGTTACTAGTGGCATGTACCGGCTCGCATTTTCGCTCGCGTGTCGTTTAGCGAGCAGACTCTACCGGGAACTCTAGGGCAGCAAAAAAAACTAAAACTCATTGGGAACCTGGATGCGATTTTGGGATGGATAAACCCTAAAAAATGGACCTTCCTGGTATTTAGGGTTGATCCCTCCCGAGTCACATCCGTTTCCGAATGGGTAATATATATATATTTTTTCTGTGGTTTCCGATTGGATAGGTGGTATGCATCACCCAAAATATATTATATTGTTACGTAATCACGATTTGACACACCAAATTCAATTCAAGAAGAAGGCGACGCACGCGCTGTAGTAGGCGGCGGTCAAAACCCTCAATAAATAATAAGAACTCAAAATTAGGTTTCTTTTAGCACTTATTTTTTAATCATGGTTAGGCTTGTTTGCCGAGTCGTTTGGTCAGCTCCGGGTTGAAATCATACGGTCGAGATTTTTCGGCCCTACTTTGATCACCCTTCTGGCACTGTTCGGCCCCAATATGATATTTTCCCGAAAAAAAAGGTACATTGGGCGCGTTGGGGGTGCTTGGCCTCCCTGGCGAATATTCTACGAACGCGCGTGACAATGCTTAAAGCCCACGTCGAGCCTCTCAACTCGTTATTGTGTACCGAACCTGGTAGTTTTTCTTGTGCGCTCATGGGTAACAGAACGCATCACAACTAGTTTGTCAGAGGTCCACTGGTGATCCCCGATTGATCCTAGGGAAGGGTTACAGGCACGGTTGCCTGGGGGGTTATGAGCGCACTGACCCGCTACTTAAACAAGCCCTTTTATCCCAATGGTCTAGTGGTTGGGATTCTGAGATGGTATCAGAGCGAAGGTCTCGGGTTCGAATCCCGGTGTGTGCACTTCGGGCATCCCAGTGAGGGGGGGTGTCAGAGGTCCACTGGTGATCCCCGATTGATCCTAGGGAAGGGTTACAGGCACGGTTGCCTGGGGGGTTATGAGCGCACTGACCCGCTACTTAAACAAGCCCTTTTATCCCAATGGTCTAGTGGTTGGGATTCTGAGATAGTTCGCTCGGACCTTACCTAGAGACTTCATTTACGAGCAAACGGGAGGCACCGCCTGTGCGAACCCTATCCGAACATCCGAGGTAGAATAAAGGGACGCACAAGCAAAAACGGGCAGATCTGAACGCCCGTTTTTGGGACATTTGTCGATGGATTTACTCACCACAAAAGCATATCAAACGAGAGGTAAGGGTGAGCCCAAAGGCTGAAGGCTTGTGAATGGTTGGGATGAAACGTTTTGGGCATCCTGGGCCGCCTGGGCATGGTCAACGAAAAAAAACAGAACGGATTGCAAACCTTCTTAGTCGTTAGCAGCAAACTTCGCCGATTCTGCGGAAGTCTTGACCCCTTCGAGGAACATGCTTTCTGTAGGCCTTGTGTGGAGGGCCCTATTTGCTTGTGCGGCAAGAGAGCGATGCCATAGGCCCTGTTCGATAGGCTAACGCCCGCGGAATCATCGCGGCTGTTTCGACAAGGGGTTTTTTTTTTACGGTCAGCCCGTAATTTGGTGACACGTGGCTTTAACTGGATCTTGGGGGGTTAGTGTTAGCCTGTCGAATGCTATTTTAAAGCAAGGGTGCACATTCGTAAGGGTGGTTTTTGGGGGCATTGTGTCAAACTATGTGTTTCTTGTTGTGTAGGCTGTAGTGGGATAGCCCATATAGGGTACAACCTAAATTAGGGTTTGCTACTTGTACCCATCCTGCTGCTAGTTCATTCATCCTTGTTCATTATTTTGACATGGTATCAGAGTAGGTCCTAGCCTAGGACCGATCTCTTTGGGCCCACCGAGTAGCGCTACCCCACCCGTCGCGCTAGTGTGATCACGTCGTACTGCCCTGCCCTGCACTGCCTGCTGCAGCGCGCACTGCTTTGCGTGCGCGCCGACTACTGCAGCGCGCCCTGTTGAGTCGCGCGCCGCCTGCTGAGTCGCGCGCCGCCTGCTGCAGCGCGCCCTGCCCTGCCCGCCGCGTCGCCCTGCCCGCGCGTCGCTCTGCGCGCCCTGCCTGCGCCCGCGCGCCGCGCCGCCACGCGTCCTGCCCTGCCCGCGCGCCGCGCTGCTGCGCGCCCTGCCCTGCCTACGCGCCGCGCCGCCGCGCGCCTCTGCCTTGCCAGCTCCGTCTGGGTCACTGTCAGGTCTCCACCTCCCCTCGTTCTCTATGAACTAGGTGAGCACGGCTGTCTTCCAGGATGCGGGGGTTGACACCTTCACCCCTGGACGGCAACGTGTGGCGATCTGTACGTGCTCCCGGACCGGCCGCCACCTGGCCACGTTCACCCGTCGGCCTGGGTCGAGTCTGTACACACTGACTACTACGCTTCCTCAGGTAGCTGCGTCTGCGTCAACATCAGGTCAGCTTGCTGCCCCCTGCTCGTGTCGCGCCCTGTCGCACCAGACGCTCCTTTGGCACCACCGTCTTGGTCACCCCTCTGTGGCACGCTTCCGTGGCATGCACTCCCGTCTCCTTGTCTCTGGTCTTCCCAGATCTCTGCCTCCCCTCCCACCGTCGCCTGCCCCTCCCTGCCTTCCCTATGTCGAGGGGCGGGAGCGCGCCGCTCCTCCCTCCTCGTTCCTCCCGACAAAGGCTCCCCTGCAGACACTCCATCTAGACGTGTGGGGGCCCGCGTCCGTGGACAGGGCCACGAGCAGTGTTTTCTGCTGGTTGTCGACGACTACTCGCGTTACACCACGGCCTTCCCCTTGCACCGCAAGGGGGAGGTCCCTAATGCTCTGATCCCTTGGATCCGTGCTGTTCGTCTCCAGCTCCGCGAGCAATTCGAGACAAACCTTCTAGTCCTGCGTCTGCACTCTGACAGAGGTGGTGAGTTTTCCTCCGACCTCTTGCGGGCCTTTTGTCGTGCGGAGGGCATTCGCCAGACGTTCAGAATGGGGTTGCTGAGCGCCGCATTGGCTTAGTCATGGAGGTCGCTCGTACCTCCATGATTCATGCGGCTGCCCCCCATTTTCTGTGGCCGTTTGCAGTCCAGTACGCTGCACATCAGCTCAACCTCTGGCCTCGTGTCTCCTTGCCGGAGACCTCGCCCACACTGCGTTGGACGGGGGAGGTTGGCGATGCGTCGGTGTTCCGGGTCTGGGGATGTCGAGCCTTTGTCTGCAATACGTCCGCGGACAAGCTCTCCTCCCGCGCCGTTCCCTGTGTCTTCCTTGGCTTTGTCCCTGACGCGCCTGGCTGGCAGTTTTACCACCCCACCTCGCGCCGTGTCCTGCCCTCTCAGGATGTCACGTTTGACGAGCCGGTTCCCTTTTACCGTCACTTCCCCTACCGCACTGCCCCTCTCCCTCCTCCGCCGCTCTTCCTAGCACCAGGTCCTCCTCCGGTAAACCCCCTCCCCCCTCAGGGTCATGCTCCCCCAGGTGTGTCCCAGGTAGACCCTGTCTAGGTAGCTGTCGACTCTGGTGCTGCTAGAGATGGTGCGTCAGGGGGTGCTGAGCCTGCGGGTGCTGGGCCTAGGGGTGCTGAGCTTGAGCGTGCTGAGCCTGGGGGTGCTGAGTCTGAGGGTGCGGAGCCTGGGGGTGCTGAGCCTGGGGGTGCTGAGCCTGCGGGTGCAGAGCCTGGGGGTGCTGAGCCTGAGCGTGCGGAGCCTAGGGGTGTTGAGCCCGAGTGTGCTGAGCCTGGAGGCCCTTCGGGTGTCTTGTCACGACCAGAGTCTCTCTCTCCGCTACTGCGCAGCGAGTGGTTTGCTCGGCGCTGGAGCCTCCGCAGTGGTGCTACTGGAGTTGGAGCTGCTGGAGGTGCTGGAGCCGCTAGTCCCGGAGGTGCTCATACTGGAGGTACTGGAGCTGCTGGAGCTGCAGGTACTACTGGAGCTGCTGGAGGTGCTTGTTTTGATGGAGTTGGAGTTGCTGGAGGTGCTACTGGAGCTGGAGGTGGAGGCGCTGGAGCTGTTCCTGCTGGTGGTACTACTGGTCCTGGAGCTAGTGGTGCTGCAGGAGTTGGAGCTGGAGGCGCTGGAGCTGGTCCTGCTGGTGGTGCTGCAGGAGATGGAGCTGGAGGCGCTGGAGCTGTTCCTGCTAGTGGTGCTGCTGGTGCTGGAGCTAGTGGTGCTGAAGGAGTTGGAGCTGGAGACCCTAGAGCTGCGGGTGCTGGAGCTGTCTTTGCTGGTTCTGGTGGTGCTTCACGGCCGCGGCCGTACTTCGTTCCACTCCTGCAGCAGGTTCTTGGTCTCCCGCCTTCTACTAGTCCTACTCCTCCCTTACTGTGTCCGTTGCATGACCAGCCGCAGTCGCAGCTACAGCCAGCCTGTTAGAATCAAGAAGTGATGAAATAGAAACATTTCGGAGTACAAGTATGAAACCCTAGAGAAATGTACCCCCTAAAGGCTAACCCATTGTAGCCTACACAGTAGTAACATATATAATGTTTGACACACCCCCATAGGCTAAGTGGGGGAGAGCAAGGGGTCACAGGACCAGTCAAGAAAGACAAAGCAAGCTCAGGGTG